ATTACAAATACTCACATTACTGTAATTAAGTTGAATTTTTGGGGTACTTGTACTTTTATGAGTATTTCTTTGAAGTGTGTAATTTTACTCATACTTAAGTACAATTTACACCATGTAATCTACTTCGCTACTTTGAAAATCAGAAGTCGCAACTGAGTACGGCCGCAATTTGAATTAATATTCAAACCGTTCATCTGCATCTTTGTAGCCAGTAAGTCTCTCAGATCGTGAATGCGCCAATTACGCAAGACGTAAGCAAAGGACAGCTCTGTAGAGTCGTTTTTAGAGTCTACTCCTCACAGGCAAATGAAGCCGGATAGACTCTGTTCACTTAGAAAACCAGCTCCTGCTGACACTGAACAGAAGGTTCAGAAAATGAAGGGTGACAGAAATGTCAGTTTGAAACACTTAACGGCACTCGCCTGTTGTTAACGGTGTATTTGGAGAAGTAAACTGTTCTATGCCGGTTCAAAACATTTTTTGTCTTTCTTTGAACAAACAAAATTCCTGCTTTATCTACATTTGTTTACAAAATAAATGGCTTTTGTGTAATTTTTCCATATTTTATTGTTCGTCTGAGAAAAGTGCTTTGAATGTTGCTGTTATATACAGTGAATCAAACTGAATGTCTTCATTGACAACACAATAAAACATCAATTGGTTAAAAAGGAATTAATGCTCTGAGTAGTTTTTGAGAAGAGTACTTTGTACTTTTACGTAAGTATTTTTATAACAGAAGTACTTGTACTTGTAACTGAGTACAATTTAAGCTGTGTAACAGTACTTGTACTTGGACATATTTCATAAGAAATTTACAAACGCTAAATCTTACAGGAAGGATGAGCTTCTAACTCATCATCAGTGTATTATTAATAAATCAAGGTTCAGCTGCAACATTCATAAAATTAAATGCATTAATTGATTTTTTAAAAACGTTCTTGTGTATTAAATTAAACTCTTAAATCGACTGTCTTAGTTTGATTGTTATGGAAAATAAACACAAGCAGCAACAAGTAAATGCTAACGTGTGTGTGTATGTGCGCGTGCGTGCGTGCGTGCGTGTGTGTGTGTGTGCGTGTGAGGGGGAGCAACATTAAAGGTCATGTTCTAATGTCCAGCAGGGTTAGGGACAGCTGCGAGGACACACTGCTGAGAGACATCCAGTTTAACACACACATGCACGTACAGACAGGATAACACACACTGACATGCACGTGCATCTTGGCTCAGAACCCAGACACAGAACCTGGTTTACAAGCTGTATGCAGACCAAACACACACAGCAGTTTGTTTCTGTCTCTCTCTCTGGGAGACAAAGAAAAACAAGGAGCGACAATGTTTAACACAAGAAGAAGACAACACAGAGGTCAGAGGTCAACAGCCACATGGTTTCTGTTTTTTCTCCGCAGCTTACAGATGGATTAAAAAAAAAGAACTTCACAAAGCTGAAGTTTGTTAAAGATCTCAGGAATCAGCAGCAAAATGACCTTAAAGCACTGCTTTTATTCAAATTAAACCAATCCTACTGTGAAATATTACAAATATAAAGCAGCTGCTCCATCTTGTGGACGCCTTCATGCAATGATTTCAAATCAATTTTGTTTTTATTAAATTTTAGTGCTGCACTTAATACAAAAAGTAAGAAGACATTACAAAAACATGAGACCTTAAATGAAATGAAAAACTAAAACAGCTGAGAATATAAGAAAAAATAATTTCTACAGCAAATTTGCACAATTAGTGTTTGTGCTTGATTTTTCTTGGCCTCAAGGATCAAGTTCTCTCAAAGGAAACAATAATTAAAAGAAAAGTGCAAGATTTTATTTAAGGTCAAATAAATGTGCGTTATTTTAACTTGCAGACAGGCAGCATTTTGATTTGACTGTTCAGTCCTGCAACAAATGTTCTTCAAAGCTGAGGCTTAGTTTAGTTATTTTTTGAATATGTAAAATAATGAACAAAAAAGTACAACATGAAGAATAATGTCAAAACTTTTTTTTTGTTTTACATATGAGGAGTGGGTAGAAGTATAAACTTATTAAAATTCCAACTCCTTAACCACTTACATTATTTTACATTTATTACATGTATAATCCATATATACTACAACTAAACCCTTATTAAACCCATCAATATAGTATCTATTTAGGTTAACTACAGTAGATCAATAACACCAACACCAAAAATAACTGAATAATATTATATATTATATCCAGCAATAATCATATGTTGGGAATTTGAACAGTTTTATGTTTGGACATTTTCTAAGTTCAATTTTCAAATTATTCCACAGTTTGACTCCACTTACTGATACGCAAAAGTTTTTTCTAGTAGTTCTGACTTTGCATATTTTAAACTGTGATTCCCCCTTAACTTATAAATTTGCTCCTTAGTCTTAAACAGGTTTTGAATGTTTTCCTGTAATTGTTTACTTTTGGATTTGTAAAGAATTAGAACTGTCTGTAGTTTCACTATTTCAATGAACTTTTAATAATTTAGATTTAACAAATAGTGTATTAATGTTTTCTAAATATCCCAATTTATGGATTATTCTTATTGCTCTTTTTTTGTAGCATTGTTAATGCCTGTAGTGTAGTTTTGTAATTATTGCCCCAGATTTCTGTACAATAACTTAAATAAGGTAAGATTAGTGAACAGTAGAAAGGTGGTGTAAAACATTAAAAGACAAAAACTGTGCTCTAAATGTTTTCATAATAGTTTTGAGACAAAAAAAATCTGCAAAAAGATGCTAAAAACTTGTTTTATTGGTCGCCTTGGCGTCATTTAAACACCATGTGACAAAAAGCACAAATGAAAACTAATACTTTAGGTTAGTCCAGGGGTCTGCAACCTGCGGCTCTGGAGCCACACGTGGCTCTTAGGTTCCTCTGCAGCGGCTCTTTCAGGCTTTGGCCAAAACTAAAATAAAACTGAATTTTATTTAAATTATTGCCAACAATGAAAATGCCTAGTTTTAGCACATTCCTGTCGTTTGAAGAATAGTACAAATACAAGGCATAAAACGTGGACTACATAGCAGTTTAGCCACTTTAAGTCAACTCCCAGTCTCACAGCGTGAACTTTCTCTCAAAACCACCAGAATGTTTTGGAATAGACAAGTTGCTGAGAAGGAATATGGTGAATTACTGATAACACTAAGAATAAAACACAAAAAAACAGAGTCAAAGTAAACAAGTGTAGGGGAGACTGGGTATGGTGGTAACACTTTTTTACCATCCCCACCCCTGTCAGCCATTGTTTAGCTATTGTATGAACATAGTGGTTTGAAATTAGCAAGGGGAAAATGCATCGCATTTGGCCTGAGAAACTACAATTCAATGTAACATAGTTCATACGGTTTTATCTGCAATGGTATAATTACTAAACAAAATATAGTCTTTGTTCAAAAATATACTTTCTTACCTCAAAAGCATTTTTTTCTTTATAGAATCTGCGTGCATTTGTTTCAAAGCTTGGCAGTCACCATGCGGGGTCAGGGAGGACTTGGGTAAACGCTGGAATGATCACATGACTCTTATCTTATCCATGATTGGTGGAATTGGTGGTGTTACAACTCTCCCCATGTTACAACCATACCCGGTCTCCCCTATTTATTTTTCTTTAAAAATGTAACTGAATGTCCAACAAACTGGCCTAGTTTTATTCTGTCTTTAACTTTATGCTTTAAGTAGGAAACTTAATTCTTCAACATTTAAGAGAATTCACATCAGCCTGCAGAGTTCAGTGTTTTAATTTTTTTTAATTGTTAAAATTATATTTTTTTCTTTATTTACATGAATCTGGTCTTTTCTTTTGTAATAAAATGTAAAAATATCAATAAATGTTCATCACAGTTAGACATTTTTTTTATTTTATAATATCACCCCACTTGCTGGAAAATCCATCTCCAACAAACTTGTGGCCCATGGGCCACCAGTTGACAGTGCACAGCTGTAGCAGGTTTTACAGCTTCGGACATCGTATTTAGCAAAGTGGCACAAATGGTTCTTTTTATCACAAATGTCGCACACCCCTGGGTTAGAGGGTGAAATTGTAACATTTTCTATTTCTTATATCTGGTTGCTTTTTTTTTGTGGTTCTAATCCCACTGAGATTAAACCTGATTCAGATGAATTTCATCAGACTTCGCTCGAGCCGTGCCTGTAAAACGTTCAGAACTGTCTCGTGCTATTTATGATATTTAGTTAATTGAGTGATTTTACTTTCATAGCTCTGTGCTTGATGTCATAAACTCTTGAGAATATGTTTTAAAAACAGCTAAAGGTTTGTGTTTTGTTAGAATTTGGATTTTTTGTCTGTTATTTTTGCAGTTTACGCTGAAAGAAACTGAACATCTTCAAAACTCGTAGCCACATAAGGATTACCTGAGACTGTTTCTGACGGACCAACACCATGAAGAACCTTCACCCTCGGCTTTTTCTCTTTTGTTACGGACCGTTTGTTCACTTGTCAGATTTCCTTCCTCCCTTTGTTTGAACCTTCCTCCAGCTGTGCTCCTCACCTGCTCCTCCTTTGTTCAGATGCATCTCTGTTTTGCCTCCAGTCCTGTCCTCAGACGCTTTAATCATCGTTTTGCTTCAATAAAGATTCTCCGTGTGGTTTTAATCTGTTCAGTGTACTTCTGTTCAACGCTGTGTAAAATCACATTTTGGGCGAAAAGGAAAGGACACAACCCAAAATGAACCATGAAGAGTTAATATTTTTCTAATTCTCCATCTCAACAGCTTCATAATAATGTTCAGTTTGTTGAAATGTGTTTAATTATCACCTGGCCTGACAGCATTTGTTTGCGAGGGCGCCACTTTGAAATGTTGATTTTAATTTGTCTGGTGTGATGTCATCGAGAATTCAGCCATATGTGTAAAAAGGGGAAACGGCTTGTAATTATTTATTTATATCACACAAGAATGATGCCAGTGAGTTGGAAAAAACGCTGAAACAGGGAAATGTCTCGAGTTCAGAGGGTTTTGTTGACCTGCTGGTCATGCTGGTGCTCAGGCTGGATGGGAAGGTGCAGTAGAACTGGTTCCTCATCTTCCTTCCAGTTTGGGTCTTTGACATCCTCATCCTCATGCTTACCATCAAAATGTCTGCCTGGATATACGACCCGCGCAATGGTTCACCAGACCTGTGACGCTATGCGCAAAAAACTGGCTGACGTCAAGCTGACATTTGTTTGCATACCACAGGACCATGCTGCTGGGAGCTCTGGTAGAACTGGGTCTGAATATCTGTCCTGAAAGGAGAGAGGTATAACAGCTGAGTACATGATCTACTTAAGGTTAAACTAATAAAATAATAATAATAAGAAGAAGAATAAAGGAGGAATCTCCAAGTTTCCCAACTATGCCAAACATTAAATGAAGGGATTTCCCAGTACTCCAACAGCTGGCAGGGATGATCAATTACAAAGGAAAGTAAAAAGATTAGATTTATAAGGGTTATTTCTGAAGACAGCTGTAAAAAACAAAAATATTTAAAGGTTGATTAGGAAGATTATATGCTTTTTAAACTAGTGTGTGGCTTTAAGGGCTCATTTTTTACCAGATCTCATTATTTAAATAATCAATATTTGCACTTTGTCTTTCCTGCAGCTTGCACTCCTTCTGAATCCTTTTGCCACCACGGCTCAGAGATGTTCTCAGAGTCCAGCAGCACCGAACAAAAGCGATAGAACTCAGAACCATATTGAAAGTGGAAAACAGAACATTACTTCTCAAAAGTATCAACACGTTTCTTTTTTCATCATCGTGGTTGGGTCAATCACAGCTGCCAAATGTCTCGTCTTAAACAGGAAGAGAAAAGAAAACAGGTTTATTGTTCTTGCTGAAATCATTTTGGAACTCACAGCATGACTAAAATCTTAAAGGAACCCCATTGGTCTTCTACAATAGAACGTGTTTTGGTTATTGTTGAAACTTCGACATGTGCAAATGATGTTTTGACTCCTCTCTTCTGTTTGGGGCTAGTTTGGTTTATTTTGTGACACATTTTCACAAAAACATAAAGTGTTAACAATATCCACTAATGACTATACTGCAGCAAAGTGTTCATCTATTAAAACAATCAGCTGATACAAACGAGACACTGTGTCAAAATTACAATATTCTTATTGTAAAAACTGCTACGCAGTGGTTTATTATTATTGTCATTATTGCTACTACTAATAATAACAATGATAATATCATTTAGAGTTATTTTGGATCAACTATTTTTTCAAAAACATTATTTTTTTTCTATCTGTCTGTCTGTTCTATTTACCCATGCAAAAATTTCCAGAGCAGTTTATTCTGATATATTTTTTATTTCATTTGGAACATTAAAGCAATACTTTTTAAGGTTCATTGTGACTTTATTGTCATTCGCATCACATGTGGTACATGAGGTGGAGTGTAGAACCACTAGACTAAGGAGCAGCTTCTACCCTGAAGCTGTTAACTCATAAATCCCTAACCAGGATGAACACTGTAAGAAAAAGAAAAATCACTGTAATGCCACTTTAATTGGTGATATGTGACTTATCTGTGCTGCTGATTACCCATGCTGCTGATCTCATGCTGCTGATTTTCTCATGCTGCTGTATTCATTCAGACCCACCTGCTCACCACTGACTCATGTTTGGGCTGCTGTTGTTACGCCGTATCGTTTTACATTATTATAGTGTTTATCGTATATTTTAGCTCTTTTAGCGTACTGTTTGCCGTTTCTTTAGCGTATATCTTAGATCCTTATTTACTGTTTGTTTTATTTTTTCATATTTTGCTATTATTGGGTGTAACTGGGACCCTATGTACGTAATTTTGTTGTACCTCATGTACCACATGTGATGGAAATGACGTCAAATTTGACTTGGACTTGGAACGAAATTGCGTACTTAGGGTCCCAGTTACACCCAAAAATAACAAAAATATAAAGTATAAAAAAGAAACAGTATGTAAATATCTAAGATATATGCTAAACAATAATAAGATAATATATTACGATGTATTAAACAGCAGCCTGAACATGAGTCTGTTGTGAGCAGATGGGTATTAATCTACTCTTTCTATACTCTTTGCGCTTTTGAAAGAATAAATATTTGTACAATTGCAGATGAGTAATAAGATTTTTTTAAAAGCATTGCTATAATTCAGATTTCTTCACAAATGTGATCTAAACACATCTCTTTAGACTCGCTTATCCTTAACTTTGCTGTATGTATTTTATATTCTGTATGTATTTTATATTCTTTATGCATTTTATATTCTTTATGTATTTTATTCCTGTTGATCTTTGTTCTTACTGTAAAGTGTCCTTGGGTGTCATGAAAGGCGCTTTTTAAATAAAAGGATTATTATTATTATTATTATTATTAAACTGACTTTATTTTAAAAAGTTGTAAAAATGAATATAAAAATCTTTTTGGAAGAAAACTATTTCTTCTCACTTCAGAGCGAGAGAAACTCTTATTACATTGTGTAGTAGATTTGTGGGTCGCACAGGCAGAACCTGTCAGAACCGCCATACACACCAGGAGGCCCAGAAAACTAAAGTCCTTTATCCATTCATTTAATATTTGTAAAACAAAGGGGCGAAAGATCCAATCTAAACACAAATTATAATCCAGACTCCACCATAACAACTTGCCCCAACTAAGGCAACCTTTGACAAACACCTTCCTCCAGTGTCCCTGCAACCACAACAACCAACATGCAGGTTAGGGGACTCATAAAACTGTCCACTCCTATAAAACCAAACCCTTCCACCTGAACCTCACCCCAAGCTAACAAATAAAGGTCTACAATAAAGATAAAATGAGTTCCCTCAGCTCGTCCAGCCCGCGAGACCCCTCCCAGGAGTCTGAGCTTGTGACGCCGTCCAACACCCGAGGGAATGACTCAGCTGGGCGACGATGAGTCCTCGTGGATTGGCTCCACACCAGATCAGAGCAGCAACAGGAGCAGAAGCAGGAGCAGCTAAAGCCCAGCCCTGACTGTTTAAAGGAGGCACCCAGCCTCCAGCACCCAGCCACCTTTATAACCGTCTTCGTCACCGGCAGCCATGACTGTGAACGACACCCTCCCTCAAAGGGCGCTGCCACAGCCACTGGAGGTTCTCCTCTCTGTTGATTCAGTGTTCGCTCAGCTGCTCCTCTGATTGCACACACCGGTCCCTCAGTCTGTTTGCCTCCTCTGATGAGTCGGAGGAGGCCCAACACATCACACCAGATTCATTACACACAGAGTGAAATTTAGATGATTATGTCTTACAGGTAATGAAAAACCACATTTCAGTGTCAGAAATTTAGAAAATTGTGAAAAGGTTCAATGTTGCAAACTCATCAGCTAATTAACTCCAAGACATGAGATATGAATGTTGCATTCCTCAAGTCAAGCCACTCGTGAACCAGAGATTACATCAAAAATGGAGGAGGCTTCACTTAGGACTTCAGGCAACGTGGATTCTGGTCCTCTCCACTCTTCCTCCAGACTTTGGGACTTTAATTTTAGACGTGCACATTTACTTAAATCTGAAAAGAGGGCATTGGACCATGGAGCAACAGTCCAGTTCTTTTACTCCTCAGCAGGTAAGACGCTTCTGACGTTGTCTCTGGTTCTGGAGTGGCTTGACTTGAGGAATGAGACATTTGTAGCTCGTGTCCAGGATTCGTTTGTGCTTAGCATGAGTTTCCAATACGGAACTTTATCACAATATTCTAATTTTCTGAGACACTGAGTTTTAGTTTTTCATTATCTGTAATAATCAAAATTACAAGAAATAAAGTCTTGAGATACAGTATTTCACTCCGTGTACTGAATCTATATATGAGTTTTACTTTCTGAAGTGATTGACAAAATGTGTTGAACTTTTGTGTTGATATTCTAATTTTTTTAATGTAGTTGTATTTGATTTGTATCAGATTCTGTCCACCAATCTGACTTTTCTGTACTTTTAAACACTAAAGCTAATAAGAATCCTTTTGACACTTGTGTCTTTAGATCTTTACACCCCTATATATTTTTCCATTGCACTTTTATTTTGGCAGAAATATTCAAAAAGTTCTGCGGGACATGGTCCCCGGATGCACTGAGAGCAACACATCACTACTATTTGTGCTATTTATGATGTAAATAACATCAGAATTGGATGTAAATAACTAATGCTGACAGCAGGTTTATAAAACAGTGTTCAAAAATGTTGAAGTTTAGAGTTAAGTTTGTATCGATCTGGTTTGGTCTGCTGTTAGACGTTAACTTTGTTTTTACAAACTGCGGCCCTTCAACAAGCTCTACAACAGATAAAATGTATATTTTATATTTATTTATACAAACTCACTTCAAAGTGAACAAACTATTGGTTCAAGTAGTTTTTTTAATATATTTTTTTAATTATTGTGCATCTTTTCCCTTTGCATTTCATTATAATGTGCACTGTGGGGTGTATAATAATATTTAAAAAAATACATCCATCTATTATGTGGGATGGCTGTGGTGTAGAGGTAGGGGAGCCCACTTGAGGCTGCAATGTCACTGGTTTGACTCCCGCCATACCATATGGCATGGTGAATAAGTCACCTATTCCCTCACAGCTCTCCGGTATACTTCCATAGCTGCCTGCTGCTCCTCTTGTGTCTCACATGAGATGCATTAAATGCAATGTTTTTTTTCTCTCACAATGACAACAATGCATAGCACTTTCACTATCTATCTATCTATCTATCTATCTATCTATCTATCTATCTATCTATCTATCTATCTATCTATCTATCTATCTATCTATCTATATATATATATATATATATATATATATATATATATATATATATTCAATATCTGCTTCTCTGAGATTACTGCTGAAAACTAATTGTAAGAAAATATATATTTTAAACATGACAATAAACAAACAACACTACAAAAAAAAAAAAACTACAAAAGGTTGTATAAAAATTTTAAAGTGTAACATTTAATTTTGGGTGGATTCAAATTTTATACTGTATTGTAGACTGACAAAAAGTTAAATGAGTTTCAGCTACTTGACAGAAAAACTACCAGATCTTGGGAGCTGTATGTTTACATTTGACCACCAGAGGGCGACAAAAGCCGCACTCCTGTATTTCTGTCTGTAGTTTGTAGACACTTTTACTGCTTTAGTCTTGTCTTACAGCTAACAATCATGAAGTTCTTAGCTTCTTTTTGCCATTTCCTAATGTAGAAATCCGAAATATATCCATATGTCCCTCAAAATTTGACCAAAGTTTGTTTTGAAGTTGAAAATTATTATTATTATTTGTTGTTAATTATGAGAACTGAGCCATGGAAACAAAGTTTAAGTCTGTTTAAATGGTTTAATGCTTTTTTACACACTCAGATCACAGACTAAACTTTTTTCTGCTTTACATACTATTTTTTAAGAGCCTGAAGGGGGGCGGTGCTGTGAGCTGCTGAGGATCATATTCTGCTGCTCACTGGGGAAACTCCTGCTGCAGCTCAGTCTTCCTGCAGGAGGTTTGTGCGCTCAGCAGCAGCAGCATGGAGGGAACCAAAGGAGAGGAGCGCTCAGCTGAACAGGCAGCCTCTTTATTTGGGACATCAGAGATGGAGAGTCAGAAGAGCGCAGCAGAAAGGAGAAAGAAGCGGATTAACATCTGTAAAATCACAGCTGGGGTACGTTCAAGCACACTTCTTAACTTCTGTTCAGACACCAGAACCTCTCTGCTCTTTAAACTGCTCAGCTCGTGGTCAGGGACTGTTCATTTGAACAAAAATCTTGTAAAACTTTGCTCTGCTTCACTTTATTTATTTAACTTTTTTTACATTTATTATCAGTTTAAGATCAGTTTATCTTAAGACTACAAAAGCAACCAAAGTGAGGTTTTGGTGAATTTTTATGCTGCAAAGCCAAAATTTATTTCAGTTTTTCTTTTTGAAAGAAACTGGCAACTCTAAATCAGATTAGACTGAAATACTGCAGCTTTACTTTCTGCTGAAACAAGATCACCATGAGGTACCAAAACCCACAGCTTCACGTCAGCATTTTCTGTTCTGTTGACTTTAGCCGTCATTAATCCACAGCTGTCACACAGCTGAGACCCTCTGTGGAGCCAGTGTGAGCGTGGAAATGTGGAAACTGTTTTCACTCTGGTGCAAAGAGACAGAGGCCAGGAGAGGCTCTGCAGGTGGACATGACCTGCCGCTTGTTTCTGAACTGGACCTCCCAGCCCTCATGGCTGACAGAAAGTTTGAGTCAGAATGAAAATGCTGTGGTTCCCAACCGTGGTCCCTGAGGAACACCATCCTGTATGTTTTAGTTGTTTTTCTGCTCCAACACTCCTGATTTGAATAAAAGGGTGATTAACCGGCTTCTGCCAGGCTTAAGGATGTACCGGGTACTACTGAATCAGGCGTGTTGAGGCAGAAAAACAAAAACATGCAGGATGGTGTTCCTCAAGGAGCAGGGTTGGGAACCACTGAGTAAACGTTAGGTCCCTGTGGATCATTCTGTGAGGATGTTTGCGGTTGTTGTTACATTAGGGGTAACTAGTTGGCTAAACTGTAAATGTAAGACTAGGAAAAGGCCACAAAGTTTCCCCATTTGGGTCAAAGTATGATCTTAAAACAAAACGGATGATTCAATTGATTAGTACGCAGCTAATAAAGTTTTAGTCTGTTCATAAAAACACAAATGCTACAAAAGATTAAAGGAAAACTTTAAATTTGTAGTCTGCATGTTTTCTACTCTGATTGAATATTTTGATAATCTTTAACTTTGAATTCCTCAGAGCTTCACCCAGAGGTGAACTTTCCTGTCAGTGGTTTCTGTAATTCATTATCAGTGAGAATGATTAAAGACGCAGCATTCCTCGAAGTAATGCATATCGCCCGCTGCCCATCGTGCCCGAGTTTTAAACCAAAATCATCTAATGAGAAAAGACAGTGATGGCGTTTTGATCAGACCTTCATGCACGATGAATCCTGAGAATGAGATCTCCTGCAAGCTAGTAGCAGTCAGCGCATGTGTTAGGAATCACTCTTGGCTACTACCACGCCAAGTTTTAGCTCTTTGTCTGTAAAACTGACCGTCGATTTTTTCTTTGCTGAGGTCGTTTAACTGTGGCAGCCATCTTGTATTCAGCCAGCGACCCCAAAAGTTAATCAGATGTAGATAAATATCTGAGTTTCATTGAAATCCACCAAGTGCTTCATGAAATATTTTACTAACATAATGCGCACACATGTAATTACGTGATCACCCACCATTTCTGGTGGCGGGCAACATCACTGTTTTGTTTATGAGCTTTTAGAATAACAACAACTTTCCTGTATTATGGTAATAAGAAGGAACAAAAAGATTTCTGGAAAATAAATTACACTTTAAAGCTGTTTTGACGTTGCTGCAGCCAAAGCTGACGAGTAAAAGAAGAGGTACACAAACGACTGTGTTTTGCCAAAGAGCTAAAGTAATTATAGAATCAGAATAAGCTTTATGATCATTGTACCAAAATACAGTGAGGTTATGTTCGTACAGTCGTCCGAAAGATGAGCAGAGTGCACGTTGCTGCTGCTACAAGAGCGCGGCCTCTTATTCTTTATCAGAATACTTTTTTAGATCGAAAAAGGTAAAAGGCCATGAGGATGGATAGTGGTATTACAAAACAGATCTCTTCACATCTTGTCCTATCAGGACACGATTTGAGACATCAAAAAACTCTAACAGCACATTTATATAAACACAGTAGCATTTGACGTCAAGACGTTGAGATTTGTCCATGAAGCACTTTTAGATAGGCTATAGTCCTGATAAGATGTTGATGTTCAGACGACTGTTCTGATAAGTCTGCACAGAAGTTTTTTTTTTTTTTGGGCGGGGGGTAGATGAAGCTCTTTCCTTAAGTTACCCATGTCCCAGGTGAAATTTGATAGTTGGTCCGTGTCTGAGGCCAATTGGGGAAGTCAAATTCAGATAAGCCACAATTGTTGATTTTCTTCAGGCAGACTGTTTTTTCTGGTCAGACTTGAGTCATGCTGGAACTTTCCAGATCCAAAATGGCCAGATTAATTGGTATTCAACTCCACTGATCCATGGTATGAGCCTTCTTCAAGGTCGACTCCAACATGCGGGTGAGTCGTAGAAGCCGCAGGTGGCCTGCGATTCTCACAAATCGCTTCCATTTTACAGTTTAGCTTGTAAATCAGCTGATTTTGAGTACTCGTAGCACAAACCAAACTTTCACACAGACTTGGCAGTTTTGTCATGACCAAAACTGCTGCCAATGTCTTCTTTAAAAGTAGATAACATAGGGACCCATCGATGCCAAAAAGCAGAAACCATGCTATCATGAATCCAATTATATTAACGTCTTCAGCGTCCTCCTGAGACAGAACTGAGAGACACATCATCTGCCGAACTCCCCACGGATCCCTGACGTATCCTGCAGCGTGAGTCTCGGCAGGACATGGGGGCTCTTCAGGACCCTGTCGCTTTATTGAAGATTTTGTCGATTGCGTTGAAAGTCCAGATCACCAGATCCATAATAGTATTTTTCATTCAGAAGGTGTGTACCAGGAGCTCCGAGACACACAGCGAGCAAAAGTCAGGAGGAAGAGGAGAACAGGGGAGGGAGAGGAGAAAGCATCCGCCTTGTGCGAGAGCAGAAAAATGTAAAGGAAAAGTCGATTAAAACAGAATTAAATGCTTTTCAAATCTCACAAACCTATATTTTATTCACAATGGAACATTGTAAACAGAGAAAATGTTTAAATTAAAAACTGCACCAGCTGTTAAATGAAAAATAATTTGGATTTTTCTGGCCGCAACAGGTCTGAAAAAAATACTAGACAAAAGGCTGTGAAAGTGGTTTTGAATGAAAAAAAAACATAATTTTACAGTTACTTGGGTTATTTTGCAACAGGTCAGTGAGAGTACTGGGTATAAATGGAGCATTTTAGACAAACTGTATCAGTCCGAAGTAAAGACGGGCACAGGTTCACCAGTCTGCAAAGATATGTATCTAATAACGTGGAAGAGTTTTAAAAAATGGAAAGACTTTGAATGTCCCATCACCTACAAATCATGACATCCTTTTTTTAAATTCTGGTTGTAAACACATTTCCTCCTCTGTAAAATACAAACTGAACTCGTCCGACTGCCAACGCTGTTTTCAAACTTTTCACTTATATTTAAACTTCAGCTAGAAACCACAGGAAGCAGATGGTACCAGTTTGGCACAGGAAGAAAAAACAAGCTGTGATGTGTTTGGGTCCAACTCTCTGTAGCTGTGATTCCTGTTCAGACTCATTAGACATGATTCAACTTAAAAATCCTCTAAAAAAGGAAGGATTGCGTCAAGCTGTGAAAAGCAGAGCCAGGTTTTGCTCCAACATGGTGATTCTTCACACAGTCTGCAGGTTTCCAGACTTTTATTTTGTTGATGCTCGACCTCAAACCTCAGTGTAACGAGTTAATTTTCACCTTTACTGTAAAGACGCAGGAGACTTTGATGAACTGAGCTGGTAAAGTATGTTTCAGAGTCAGAATTGTTGGTTTTCACGAGACAGACTGTTTGCTTTCACAGCAGTAATGACGCCTACCTTTAAAAATAAAACATTCAGGTTACCTGTCTGTTCAGCACGTTAAATAAAGTTTACAGACTCCGAGTACACACTGATTATTATCAGAATCACACTAACACACTAACTTTAACAGACAGTTCTGAAAAAATTATGAGCAACTGATATCTTACCTGTCACAGATAGCAATTTGAATGAGCTGACGTTGGAGAAAAATAAGTTTTATTCTTACTAGATGGACAAGCTAACATCTAGTCTGGACCAAAGCGGACTTCTGACATCTTAAAACAACTCCAATTTCAAAATAAAATGTTACTGCAGTTTATGCATGTGCTCATATAAGAAGATTTGCATGACCTTCTGCAGAAATGTATAAAAATTCCTGCAGCAAATTCTGCAGGCTGCACATTCAGTGCTACAACTAGCTGCTGCTGCAGTTTGCACTTACAAATAACTAGACATAAATTAAATATTAGTGTAACACAAAATCAACTCGATGTAAAGAACTGGCACAGATCACTATGATTTAGAGAATGAAGGTAGAGATTTATGTTTGTTGGCACAAATCTCTCCAAAACAAAAGAACTATCTACAACAGGTAAGATATTGACTGTAACTTTCCACAAAACTCCACTTCCAAATATCTGAAGTGTCAGTTTAGGTTTTTGTCTTGGAAATAAAAATGAAAAAACTTTGATCTTTATGGGAAAAAGATGTGTTAATGTTAATTCTGGGTGATTTTAAACAAACCTGGTGAGTGATGAAGCGCCACAGTGGTAATGGCTGACTCAAATAAAATCTCCCCAGAGACTCTATGTTACTTTAGCACTTCCCCAAAATATAGAAAAAATCTTGCAGGAGTTTGAAATACATTCACTTTTGGGACCTCTGAGAAAATTACGTTTGTAGAGTTAAAACCCAAAAGGGTGCCTTTTTTTTTTTTGTTTGCAGGGAAAAGGTTCATTTGATTTGTAATGTGCTGAAAAACATTTTCAGTCTGAGGGGCGACAAGCTGCTGGAAAGCCTAACTAAACAGGAATTTACACGTTAAACCACAGCTCTACATGGAAGGCTCTAAACTTGATTTGTTATGGACAAAATGTAAATTTATGAAGACGGAAATGTCCAAACTGTCTCAGACTGCATGATGAACACCCAGACTGTTTCCTGAGGGCTACTTTTAATTGTTATCATGACAAAACAACTTAACGTCCCTGTCCTCCACCCCTTCTCTGCAAAATCTGTTTCCTTTGATACGCCCCTCTAATTACAAACCTACTCAGCAGCGCTTTTGACTTTTCAGATTTTTTCACAGCTGAAGATGTGAGAGAGGCAAAATGAAGGGATGCACGTCGCCCGCTGCCTTTCATATCAGAGTTTTAGACTCTAACTTTATTCGTACTCTCGTGAGATATTCTGAAACGTCACTCTCACTTTGAGTCATGAATGACTCTCACCTATTATTGTTTAAATGTGACTCAGTTATTGCCATGTTTGTTTTGGCTAATGTTGAAATGAATATCTTGATTTTTTTTTTTTTTTAAAGATAAATCACGATATATATCTCAATATATTTTTCTTTCCATAAAGTAATTACAAAAATATATTTCTGAGTCAAAGCTTTGTCACAGTTGTCACACAGGCACATTTATTAACAACAGATGTGACTGTACAAAATAAATGTCTGAAAAAAAAACTATTTACTTATATTACAGTTTGTTTTTTAGGCATTTATTTACATATTTAAGTACAAGTACAAGTTATATAAGTACATATGCATAAGTATAAGTACATTGTTATTGTTTGCTGTTATTGTTGTCTGTACTTTATATATTCTGTCTAGAACAGGTCTCTCTTGTTTGAGTCCTCATGGCTCAATGAGGCTAGCCTCTATAAATAAAGTTGAATGAATGAACTTGCTGTGGTGGCCATCTTGAATCAGGTCAACTCCATGTTACGTGGCAGATGAGATATTTTAGTAACACACACACAGCCACCTGAATCCTTCTGGCATTTCTATACATCAGTAGCTAATTATTTAATGATTTTTGTTGGTTCATTAAACACAATGTTTTGTTTTTCACCTCTTGAGCTGAAAATATTACATAGTTTTTTCTGAAGAGGATGAATTTTGACTTCTTTCAAATATGTATAAGTTGGTTTTAATGGGTTTATTATGTAGATACAAATATATCATCGTAACACGTTTGCTGCACAGTGATACCATTCATATGCTCAGCTTAGATTAATTTTTAATTTTTTCTTATTTACTCTGACGTCATGTTTGAAAACAGCTACTGACATCTTTTAGGCTGTATAGTATTCAGACTGAACAACTCAATAAACAGTGATAACAACACAGAGTAGTTTATTTTGAGGACTTTTTACTGATAAAATATCTGTGATGAATGTTTTTTTTTGTTTGTTTCCGTTGTTTAAACTGTAGATCCTGCTGCTGATCTTACTGATCGCCCTGCTGGCTGTAGTGATTTCACTGAGAAGGAGCGATAAGGACGCGGGTAAGCTTCACTTTTCGTAATGTTCAGCGTCATTACTCGCAGTTTTGATTTTAAAGTGTGTTTCTTTTAAATAAAAAGGCGTGTTTACAGGCGTTTAAATAGATCTACTCATTTAAGAATCGCAGCTCTTTCTAAGCTCTAAACTCCTTCAGCAATTTAAATTTTAAAGACATTCTGTCTTCAGCATGTTTGTGGAGCTTGAAGCGGTTGTTTTTGAACATGCAGGTGGAGCTGTGACCTCTAGACGGCTGACATTAAAGAAAATTATATAGCTCATTTAAATTGGAAAGTATTTAAATTAAAGAAAGTGTTAACTCTTTATGTAGGTAAAGTTCTTAATAAATACAAATGTTTAAAAATCAGCATATGAAGGGACTTATACTATATAATTTACAAAAAGCCACTAAGCATATCTCACTGATGCTAAAGAACAGAATCGACCCGCTACGAGCCGATTTAGATTTGTCCCATTATGCTAGAAAGCTTAGCCTTGAGGAAAGGGAGTGGCATGTGGTGAAGCTACTTTAAATCGGCCAAGATGAACATACACGCTGAGAAGTGGATGAACGGACGACCCGACATTCTGACTGAACATTAATTATATTGATATTTGGGATAATCTGATTGAATCCCGTTTCTGTTCACTGGGGAGTCATAGAAAGCCTACAAGGCCCTCGGAAACCTACCGTGTTTTCTGGAGTATAAGTCGCATCTGTCACAAAAAGCATTGTGAAAAGGAAAAAACATATATAAGTCGCTTCGGCATATAAGTCAAATTATTATGTGTTTATTTAATGGTGAAAACAGCTTCATTTCACCTGGGTGGCACCATCCATCATCCATCCATCCATCCATCCATCCATCCATCCATCGTGGCCGGAGCCACTAGCTCTCCGGCATTCCTCCACCTGCACCAGCTGAATGAAGCAAGCACACACGGGAGGACTTGCTGTTACAGTTCTTCGAAATTTAAACTGTCAGTCAAAAATTACTTTATGAATATGGAAAAAAACATATATAAGTCGCTTCGGCATATAAATCACAGGAATGATAAATCTATGCAAAAAACTGTGACTTGTATGCTGGAAAATACGGTACACGTCAGTGATAAGAGTCTAATAAATTCAACAGGATACACATTTTGAGAGCGTTGCACTTTTTTTAAAAAAAATTGTAATTTCATTATCTGTTTATATAAGCATGTATTAAGAATATTTTGAACTGTGAATATATAATACCACTTTAATTATAAAGTACTTTTAAACAACAACAAGGCCAACCACAGTGCTGTACAGTAAAAACAAAACAAGCAAAGGACACAGGAAAAAATACATAGATCCGAACAGGTAAAGATAAAAACTAAATGGCTAACATTATAGAATATAGACAAGTTAAATCACCTCATACAGTGTCAAAAGCCTGGGAATAAAAGTGAGTTTTCAAACGAGACTTAAAAACAGTGAGAGAGGGAGCCTGCCTGACATGCAGTGGTAACTCGTTCCACAGTTTTGGACCTGCAACAGAGAAGGCCTCTGATCTTAAAACAAATGCCTGGAATCAATAACAGCATCTGGTCTGCTGACCTCAGAGACCGCTGCATATGGCTGCAGCAGATCAGTGAGATAGGAGGGGGCTGAACTGGTCAGAGATTTAAAAACATAAGAAGGATTTTAAAATGGATTCTTCTAATATAGGAGACAGATCACTGAGTTTAATCTGCCCGAAAACAAATAATCAAATCCCTCCCGTTAAGACATGAATGCCACAGATACAGTCTTCTTTCTTCAAAACTCAGCACTTCCTGTTGGTTGCAGAGACACTTATTTCATCTATTTGGGTCTTTTGTACTCGGCATACGGTGCCGGGGGTTTTCCTTTCCTTTTCCCACCTGTATGGGTATCCAACCATAATGTAGATTTGGACCATTGTCATTCAAATCTGTGAAGAACCGAGAGATTGATGTAGCCTAACTCGTTGACGTGTAAAGCTAAATGGCATGCGTTGTTTCCTGCACACCAGTGAGATTCTGAGTTGGACTTTCATGTGATCAGAGTGATGTGGTAACCTTTCCTATAGTAGACATGCTTCGCTCAATGAGTTTAAAACACTATTTGTTTTACTGTAGAAAGCATTAACAGCCGGTTTATCAAAATGTCTTTCCATCAGAGCAAATGAAGCAGCTCAGCTGGCTCTAACAGTTTGTTAAACCTTGTTTTTTCTTGCTAAATAAAATAGTTTTAGCTCTGAAGATTGCCACAGATTTGACGAGTCTCTTTCCTGTTTGCGTTGGATAACAAAGTTCACAACCTCCTGCAAATTCCTGACTGACTGTTCCTTCAGGAGAGGTGAGGTCGAGGTGAAAACGACAAATACTGTCTCTGTGTCCGAGCTGGTTGGAGTTAGTTCAGAAAATCCAGGTTTAGAAAATGGTCCAGGTGCAACAGCTACACTTCTCTTCGCATCATTTAATGCAAGTAAACAAAGTTTGATGTAATTCAGTGCTTGAACCACTACTCTTTTCCTTGTATATGCATCCATCAGGTAATGTTATTAAACAGCATGGGATAAATTTTCATTGTTATGCTGATGATACACAGTTATATTTGTCAATGAAACCCAATGAATCCATCAGCTACTTGGACTACAAGCATGTCTTAAAGACATAAAAATCTGGATGACTGTAAATTTTCTGCTTTTAAATGCAGAAAAACTGAGGTTTTGATTTTTTTGGACCTGAGCATCTTAGGAATACATTTTTCAGTCTTTCTCCCTCCTTGGATGGCATTAGTCTGGCCTCCAGCTCTAATGTTAAAAATCTTGGTGTTATTTTTGATCAGGGCGTGTCTTTTATCCCCCACATTAAAAATTTTACTAGAACTGCCTTCTTCCACCTGAGTAATATCACTAAAATTAGAAACTAAAACTAATATTAAAAGCTAAAATTAGAAACGTCTTATCTAAAAGTGATGCAGAAAAACTGGTTCATGCATTTGTCATGTCTAGAATGGACTATTGCAATGGTTTGTTATCTGGGTGTCCAAATATTTCTTTAAAACGTCTTCAGTTGATCCAAAATGCTGCTGCCAGAGTCTTAACTGGAGTTATTAAGAGAAATCATATCTCTCCAGTTTTAGCTTCTCTCCATTTGTTCCCTGTCAAATCCAGAATTCAATTTGAACTCCTACTTCTAACCTACAAAGCCATCAACAGCCTAGCTCCACCTTATATTTGAGATCTTATTGTTCCATATTTTCCTAACAGAACACTTCACTCTCAAACTGCAGACTTAATCGTGGCTCCTAGAGTTTCCAAAAGCAGAATGGGAGGAAGATCTTTCAGTTATCAGGCTCCTCTCTTGTGGAACCAACTTCCAGTTTCTGTTTGTGAGACTGACACGTTGTCCAGTTTTGACTGGGCTCAAGACTTTCCTTTTTGATAAATCCTATAGTTAGGGTTGGCTTGTTATGCTGCTATAGGCTTAGACTACTAGAGGACAAATTGACCTAATTTCCTTAAATTAATTGTTAAAATTGAAGTTTTCATTTGATTTTTTTTTTTAATCTCAACATGTGATTCTTGACCTGCCATTGTGTATCTGTTCCTCTCAAACCCAGCTGGTCGAAGCAGATGACCACTTATCCTGAGCCTAGTTCTGCTAAAGATTTCTGAGGGGGGGGTTTCCTTTCCACTGTCGCCTTCATGCTTGCTCAAGATGAGAGTTCTGTGATGGAGTTAAACTCAAAGCAGTCTGTTCCTCAGAAAAATAGTTAACTTGTTTATATATATGAATGTTTCTGTTCAGTGCCCCGAGACGACTTCTGTTGTAACTTGGCGCTAGATAAATAAACTGAATTGAATTTACTTGAAGTGATTTATCGTCTCTCTGCAGTTTATTTAAACTGTTTAACAGTTCTGGCAAGAACAGAAAATTGGCAAATGATGATGCAATACTCTGATTACCCTAAATTTGCATCTAACTCTTGTGATACATTTCAGAATCCAGAAATTTCCACATCTAGAAGGTGAATAATCCTAGCTCATCATTTTTACTGCAAATAAATTGACAGCCGGGCTGATTCAGTGTCAGGAACTCTGAAGGGATCAGAGAACTGTGTGTGGACTTTCTGCTGGTCTGAGTCATTCAGGATCAGAGAAAACTGAAGCAAAATCTCATTGTGTGTCCAGAGTCATGTGTGTCAGGAAAAACCCCGGAGATTTTACACAATTTGTTGCAAACTGTTGCCAAAGATCTATAGAATCACAACTCTTCTGAGCAAGGATGCCTCAAATTAATAGATGTTAATGCTGCCCAGCAATCTGCAACAAAGTAACTGCTAATAAAACACAGTGATTGAATAAGCAGGTTTTAAAACAAACTGTTCTACGACATGGTCTTGATGAAAATCCCCATTTCAGGGCGTCTCTGGTCTTTGGGTCGGTCCCATCTTGTGACTGTCAGCTGATAAGAAAACAGACCCAGGCCTCCCTCGCAAAATACATCTGTTATGTCAGTGTTGATCTCGGTAATAAAGGTTATTACTAATAAATGGTGGCGCAGAGGTTAGAGAAAGTAAGGTTTGCTGGTTCAAATCCCCTGACCATTACATCAAAATGTGGGTGGGAAAAGTTGAAGCATTCACATCTGCCTCCACCATCATCTGCCCCACTCTGGGCTCTTGAGCAAGGCCCTGAACCCCCTCCAGCTGCTCCCCCAGGTGCCCTGGATGGCAGTCCTCTGCTCCACACATGTGTAGCTTGGTGCTCAGTAAGTTAGCTCTCTGCAGCCATAATAAATGAAAATGAAGCCAGCATTTTCAAACCTTGGGAGGGGTGGCGAGTTATGGTCAGGTAAAGCAAAAACACTTGGAATTTCTTCCTTTAAATATTAAAGTTTACTCACCCCATGTCCTGTGACTGAAAACCCTTTTATTCAACAGAAGTTGTTGTATATTCACAAATGCTGCTAATTTAGGTAACTGAGGATTTTTATTTCCTGTTTT